AAGACAAGGAAACTCCTGGATCAGTACCCCCAGAGGTATTGATTTGTTGTGGGAACATGGAGGACTTTGAGACTCGACAGATTTAACGTGCATCAGTCACCATTTACTACACGGGGAGTCTTCGGCCGGCGAGGATCGAACCCACGACCTCTTGGATAAGGGCCCAGTGCCCTACCGACCAGGCTATCCCGGCCCTTCTTACCGGACCTTTAATGTATTTGGTATGAGACGGATTTGAATTATTGTAGTGCACTGGTTTGCAAAAGGCTATCTCATGACAGAGGCATTGGTGATTCGCCTAGACAGTGAAATTCTCAATTGTCTCTTCGCGTTACCTTTTGAGCAGTGGTACTACGCCCCACCCAACACCTGCCCGATTTGTGTGGAAGAGATGGTGGAGATTCCGCACCGCACGCATTGCTAGATCATGTATATGTTCCATGAGCATTGTCTAGTCAATGGATGCGCTCCAGTCAAAAAACTTGTCTCCTCTGCCGACAAGCCATCGTCATTTAACTTTATGTCAAAGTGATTTAATTTTTTAAAATGCATACGAGGCCAACGTTGGGCGTTTGGGTGTTGACCGCTAGGGCACGCACACTGTCTTCTATTTTTGTTCGAAATGGCTTCTGCAAAGGCACTCAGTTTTTCTTTTGTCATTTTTGCTGGCCCATGTTGGGCATGGGGTGTTTGTTTTTTCATCGGACGCGTCACACATTTAAAAAAAAAAAAAATACTGCGCCATGACAGGGCAGCGAGAGTCGAGGCTTGAGGAATCACTCTATTCATTTTGTCGTTTTCCGTTTTCAATTTAATTTTGTTGTTGTTGTTGTTGTAGTTAATTTACGTCGCACCAGAGCTGCACAATGGGCTATTGGCGACGGTCTGAGTCGAGCACTAATTTAATTTTGAAGGGATCACGGTGCTTAGCTATTTTTTCGAGTGACTGTAACAGTTTCTATCCTTTTTTTTTCGTTGCCACCAGGGTTTCTCAAATTAATTTCCTTTGATTTAAATATAAATATCTAATAAGATCTAATTCAGTACTTTCTTGAAGTTGGCAACAGCTCTGATATTAATCTTCATCCGTTTCGTCACTTCCGAATATTTATTGTTTTCTTGTTAAATATTTTCACATGCTGAAATAAAGTTAAATAATTCTGAACAGAATTACAGGTGATCTTCGCTTCTATGTCACGTTGTATTATAAATCTATATGATCCAATATTCCTAATTATTTTTATTTTTTCGAGATTATTGAATTCCCTAATGAACAACATCGCTATGTAAGTATTAATTTATAGAATTGTATAGGGATTTTATTTGTTTTTTATTTAATGCAATTAAAAAGCACAATTTTATGTGTAATAAATTTTATTCTGTTTTTCTACTTGCATAAGAATGTTTCTTATTTTATATTTTGAAGGCGTTTTATTTTTAAAAGATTTATCACACTAAGAGAAATGTAAGACAGAGTTGGCCAAAATTGTAATTGATTACGATTTTCAATTACAGTAATCAATTACTTGTAATAATGATTACAAGATAACATAATTTTGATTGCAGGTGTAATCATGATTACAGCTGTAATCGGTATTACAATAGTTGATTGCAGCTGTAATCGGTATTACAATAGTCGATTACAGTAATCAATTGCTTGTAATCGTATTAACAAATTTTTTATAATTTTGTTTACAGCTGTAATTATGATTACAATAATTGATTACAGTAATCAATTACTTGTAATCTTGATTGCAATTCCCTAAATTTTTATTACCACTCGTTAGTAATCGTTGTTCCAAGTAATCACAACAAAACGATTACGGGTAATTATGATTACAAGTAATCAAAATATAAGATTACACGTAATCGTGATTACAAGTAATTGTGATTACTATAATTAAGGAAAAATTATACCAGTTATTAAAGTTTGTTTTAAAAAGTGTTCTAAAACATATAAAACTTAATCTCTTATTGTTTTTTTTAGAGCAAACAATCTTATTTTAAATTCCTTTATGTTTTTTTTCCATATTTAAAATTAAGCATTTTTTTTGCCTTCTAAAAATTTCTAGGAATTATGCTTTCATTATGTTATATAAAGAAATTTATTTGTAGTGTCAAATATTTGAAAATTATTTTTATTCAAAAAATTTAAAAAGGATATAGAACAATGAAAGCTGAAAAATAATTTAAATATTGTTTGATTTTTATCATTTAACTTGCTTGAATCGTTATCAGTGGTTTTTACACCTAACTTATATACACGTTGTTTATTGTACAGTAGGGAACCGATTATCCGGAACGATCGGGACCATCGCTATTCCGGATAACTGATTTTTCCGGTTTTCTGAATCGCTACAAAAAGCCGTTTTTTTATTGTTTAACCCAACTAAAAAAAAAATGTTTGGAAATAATCTTAAAAAGAAGAAAAAACAATGAAGTAATACACTAATGATTATTTAAAAAAATGATGGTAAGGTAAACATCTTTCAAAAAAGAACGTAAAATCCTGAAATCTTCTGAGGAAAAAAAGTATTTTTTTTGAAAAATGGCGGGACAATTTATCGAATTTCGTTCCGGTTTTTTGGTTTTCCGGTTTTCTGATTTCCGGATAACGGGTTCTGCACTGTATTATACATATATTTAGACATTTGTATTGTACATCTGTACATACGCTCACGTATTTACGATTTATGTATCATTATTCTATGTACATATGTATAAATGCAGTGTATATACGTATGTTCAATGCATGAACATACATTGTACACGAATGTACATCTCTGTACGATATATATATACATCTGTACGATATATGCATGTCAAATGTATGTATGTGTATATGTACTTAAAACTGTACACAAAAGTATTATGCATATTTGGATACATTCATTGAACATAAATATATTGTGTATATATTTACATGCGTTAAACATGCATATAATCAGGGTCGCCAGCCTCCTGGAAAACCTTGAGAACCTGGAATTATCAGGGAATTTTTTTATATTGGAAAAATCAGGGAAATTTGGACAGAAACCTGGAAAAATCAGGGATTTTTTAAAGAAAAGCTGGAATTTTTTCTTTGATTTTTCTTAATTTCACTAATTTAAATTATTTTCTAATTTTCTTAATTAAAATTATTTTACCAACTGTTATACCCACTTTTAGACGAAAATTTGTTGCCAAACATCAAATTAGTAATACTTCGCTTGCACCAAAATTTGGTTCATTATAACCCTGTCAAACTCCCATGGTTTCTTAAAGAATAGAGAACCTTTCCAGATCACCTCATTCCCAAAAGGTGACCTGGTTAGCACTCTATCCATTGAGTCAAAGATGATAATATAACATTAAAAAAATAATATTTTAAATAAAATACTTTGTAATATTGACACTTTTCTTGTACCCATCCTAAACTTTGCGGGGGAAAAAGCACATTGACCTGGAAATTTTAGGATATTTACCTGGAAAAATCAAGGAAATTTGAAACCTGATTTGAGTGGCCACCCTGATATTGTACATACATATATCTGTATACATATACAGATATATTGTTCATAAATAAATCTTTTATGCATCCATGGAAAATTCATACATCGTACGTGCAAACATGGGATATACATACATTGTACACACATGCATGGGGCATACAGTGCAGAACCTCTTATCCGGAAATCAGAAAACCAGATAACTGGAATGAAATTCGGAACTGGAAATTAATTTTCTTCCATTAAAAAAATTTTTTTTCCTGCAAGATTTTCATTAATAACATATATAAGCCTGTATATAATTTTGATTTCATAATTTATTTCCTTATTTAAGCTTAAGTGTATTATTATTTATAATTTTTTATTGTTTCTAAAACTATTTTAAAATAATTTCTTAGTTTCATTTTATAAACATTAAAAAAACGACATTTTGTAGCGATTCAGAAAACCGGAAAAATCAGTTATCCGGAATCGCGATGGTCCCAATCGTTCCGGATAATCGGTTCTCTACTGTACTTTAATTGGACATACATGTATAGGGCATTCATACATAGGTACATAGAAGCAGGCATAAGATATAAATATATTGTAGGTACATGTATAGGGTGTACATTGTATGTATGTTTGTACAAACAACAAGAACTTGTATATACATGCATACACGAGCATGGATTAACATTTTACATGCACAAGTATTTGCATAAAATGCATACATTTATTGTGTACAAATGTGCATGTCTGTATAATTTGTACATACATTCATAATTATTTGATATATACGTACCTGCATATATTTTATGCATACAATGTAGGTGTGTGTATGTAACTAAAATGTCTACACATATGCACTAGATAAATACATGCGTACATACTTTTTTGTAATATTCATTCGAACGTACACTGTATGTAAATGCGTACAAAATGTATCATACGATACATTGTACTCTCTACAGTAAAGTATTATCATATATTGGTATACAATAGTCTTGTAATCCTGCATTTAGATTAATTGTAATCATAATTACATGTAATTGTATAATTTTGATTACTTGTAATCACAATTACAAGTAATTGATTGCAGTAATTGGTTATGTAATCATGATTACAGTTGTAATTAAAATTATGAATGTTTGTAATCATGATTATCAGTAATTGATTACTGTTATTGAAAGATGTAATCGATTACATTTTTGCCCTACTCTGATGTAATAAAACACTATGATTACTTGTAATCTGAATTGCCGGTAATCGTGATTACAAGTAATTTATTACTTAGCAGTAATTAGCTGTAATCAATTACAGTTGTAATCGATACCCAACTCTCATGTAAGATTATATACTATTCCTCTTTGATTTTTAAATTGGAATCGTGTATTTTGGTAAATAATTTATAATGTGTCTATGAAAATAGCATTTAGATTTTATCCCTCACTATCTTTTATAATTTGATGTTAATATTTTTTTATTTATTTTACCCTATATCGGTATTATACTCATAATTTTATATACAAAAGTGGTTCTATGCTATTGAAGAACTTCATTTTACATTGGATCAAATATACTTCTATTTATTTTTTCATGTTATTTTTGGTTTCCTTTTCTTAGTTATACTAATTAAACTATTTAAAACTTTGAAAATCTTTAATTCTTGATTCGAATCTGATTAAAATTTTCGACTGATTTTTGGTAATCACCATCTCCTTCACTTCTGATTTTCTTCACATCTCTATCTGCAGCTCTATTATATTTAAAAGCTGCTGTGATTATAGGCTGATTTATATTTATTTTTATTATAGCCTGAAAAGTAAAGTATCAGATATAAGGGCACCATCACCGCCACCTCAAGAAAATGGGCATAATTCAAATGGACAGGTAAGTATTTTATTAATTGTTAGAGTAATTTTCTTATGAACATTGCATTTAAATACAATTATAATAATTGGATCAATAGTTAAAATTAGTTCTATTGAACCAATTCATTAATCATAAATCAGTTTCTTCAAATTAAAAATTAGATTTAAATTTATACCTGTAGTATCTGATACAAATTATTAAAAAAAAATTAACTTGTAATATTAGAATTTGATTTATTTATTAGATGAATCTGCTCTATTTACTTATTTACCAATTTATATGTAATATGAAAGCTAAAATTTTTTGGATATAGGGTCGTGTCACAGTTTTCAACAAATGTCGTAACAGTGACAATCTTGTCATCTAAAATATTATAAACCTTTTCTTTCCTGTCTCTACTATTTGAAATTTCAAAATAATATTAAATTTGTGTTCATCTTTACAGAATATTTATAAAAACTTCTGCTCCAATCAAAGTTTACACATTTTATGCAAATGACTCCGGTTTCCACTATTTGACGTAATGTTGATAGTTCTTTGAAATTTAAGAGTTTTTCATATAATTGCATTAGAATTATCACATTTTAATTATGCAAGCCTGTGGGTTACCTGGTTATTCATAAAGTAACTCAATACCTGTGATCTAATGCGTATGAATATATTTTGTTCTTTGATATAAAATGTAACTATTTTTGTATCAATATGTATAATAAAAATAAACTATAAATTATATACCATTATCTGAAGTTGCTTAAGCCATCAGGGAATTTTAAGCCATTTTTGCAGACTACTTTTCAGGTGCTAACTTTAGCAACACTGTTACTTTAAATTTTACTCTTTATAAGCCTCATAGCAAAATTTTCTGGGCCAGTCTGCAGTACCGGCTTCATCAAAATGACTTATGAACGAATGTGATTTTAATAAGCTTTGTTCTTACTTCTTACTATTTACCATGCTGCATTGAATTATGAACTAAGTAATGGGGTGGCACACATCCCAAATTAGAACAATAATTAGAAAATAAATAATAATTTGTATGATTTATTTTTTTAAAATTTTATAAAGTTCTTTTAGCAACTAAAGGAAGTACGTCAATCAAATCATCCACACATATATTTATACAGTTTTAGAATAAGAGGAGAAATAAAAACTCTTAGGGTAGAAATAGAATATATACATATAAAAGTAAAAGTGTATATATACATGTGTGTGTATATATGATAGATATATGTATGATATAAAGAACATATATATGATCATGGGTGCCACTCTTCAGTTCTAGGGACTGAAATCAGTCTTGAGAAAAATCAATAGACTTATAAATTCTATCAATTAAATAAATGTTTCTTTTTTTTTTCATTAGAAATTTTTTAATTTTTTTTTTGTCAAAGTAAAAAAATATTGTATCTTAATGAAAACATATGATATGGTATTGATGTCAGGACTTTAATTTATCTTCTTTTTGTCTGCTTCACTAAATCTCATTGTTTAAAGTCTTGACTGGGATTGACTGAACTTTATCTACTTGTATAGTTAAATTTTGTACTATTAATGAATCTAAGTCTGCTCTAATTTGCTTCCTCCACCATAACCTATTGTCATGCTGGTCAAAGTTAAATCAAGATTATTTTTTTAAAAAAGAAAGAAATTATAGTGCTAGAGCAAAAAATAAGTAATGGTGAAGTAAAAACAGGGATACGAATGGTTTCAGGTTGTTCAGTAATAGTTGTTAAAAAATATACAAGGTTGGCTGTTATTTTCGTTTTGTTTGTTAAAAAAACATAAAATAAAAAATTAGAAAAAATAATCAAATGATTGATTTAATATGTAGGCTAATATCAAGGAAAGGTAAATTTTGGTGTCAGTGAGCTATAAATTTCTAAAAGTTTGGTAAACAACGCTAAACAGTATTATGTGGTCAAAAAATGAGTTCAGACTTGAAATTTTTTTAGAGTGGCACCCCTGTATATGATACCGTGAATGACCAAAATCAAAAGAATGTCGACTTTCACTGGTGAACCATATAGCCGCTTTGGTGAATGTCCAAAATATTTGTTATATCCAATCTGATGTTAATTTATTTGTTGATATTATTATATTTATTCGATATTTTAATATCTGCTGAGAATAAAATAGGAGAAACAAAAGTACCAGTTAGATGCATACAGGGCAGTGGCACTCAAAAGCAATGTATACTCGACATAGAAATAAATAAAGGACATTTTTTTTTTTAATTTCTGGTATCAATATAAAAAAGTGAAAAACATCATTTCACTTTGTTTTCACTTACAATCTTAAACTCAAATGCTTATGTGCGAACATGTAGGCGGCCACAGGCTAAGTTGTCTTAATTCCTAAAGGAAAAATACCACTGCTGTTTTTTGTTGATTACAATCTATCATGCCCTCTATTTTCCATCTTATAGCTAACTATTGAGATCAACATTCAGTGTTATCAGTGAAGTCAAAAGCCATTGCCGTTCATTTCATTGTTTCCTCACATCTTGCGAAACATTTATTTTTATTAATTAACTTGTTTCAGATTTAAGGCAAGTTTATCAGTACTCTAAATATTAAAATATCATAGGAACTATTATGTATTTTTTATTATAGAATATGGTCATTCTGAAACAAAAAGTTTATTAAATATTTGGAATAAAATTTCAGTGTATTAGTTTTGATGAAGTTGGAAAAAAATTCTTTTTTAAACAGACTATAAATAATAACTTTTCAGATATGTATTTACAGGGATCTGTCTAGGTTTTTCTGAGAGGTACCTATTTTGTGAAAATTTAGACATAATTTGTGAAAATTAAAAATTTTATTAAAAAATCAACACAAAAATATGGATTTATCGTTTCTTACAAGACACAAAAATAAAATTTTAAGAAAAAGTATTTTGTGAAAGTTTTACCTAAAGTTGAATTTGTGAAGGTACTGCTAAACGGTAGTAAATTTGGCTTGGACAGATCCCTGATTTAGTTTTGTAAATTTATAACTTAGTTGGTTTTTCTTTTTGCTCTATTTTTCTGTTTTCTCCCTGGTGAAAACCCTACCTTGCTCTTACTAATATGCATGGATTGGAATTAAAAGAACCTTTATAAGGAAAAAATTATTCTTGTTTGATCTGTATAAAAGCATGCTCCGTCTATCAAGTTTTAAGATAACTATTAAAATTTGGGCTCATATTTTCAGAATTATTTTGAAATATTTTAAATGTATTCTCAAGTGTAAAGATATTAGTTGGTAACATGAATTTTATGAAATAAGTATGCCTTTAAGTTAGCATTAAAAATTAAATCTTGATGAATAAATTTATTCAACAAAAAAAATCAATAATACTTTTAATTTTTAATTGATTTAAATAATTTTTTCCAGAAAAAAATCACTTTATTTAAATCTCTGCAGCCCGTATTATGAATATTTCTTTATGAATATTTCTTTATATAATGTCTTTCTTTTAATTGCTATAGAACTGAATGATGGTAAACTAAGAATTTGCCGTATTAGCAATAAATATGTCTGATAAATATAATATTAGTGATATAACAGTTATTTTAAATTATCATTTGCAGCTAGAGTACATTGAATTTTCTGATCCTGAAGATGATGAACACAGACTTCAGTGTCCATATGTATTATGGTTTTCTCATCGACCTGGTGTTAAACAAAATAATGTACAACCATACGATCAGAACTTAAAATTAGTTGGTGGTTTTAATACAGTAAGTTTGTTAATTTTGAGTTACTTTCTTTGAATCTATTAAAATTTGCTTAAAGATAAATTTGTTTTTAGAATAGCCTCAATTTTTATGTTTAAGTTATTTCATAATTATTGCATTTTTTAAATAAACTTAGCTAATGTTTTCATGTTTCTCAATCACAAGGCTACAGTAGCAGCAATGTAGGAAATGCTCAAAAATTTATTCTATGCTTGAACAGCTTAACAGCAAACTAAATATTCACTTACCACATAAATTTAGCCAAAAGTTTTCCTCTAGTTCTTTATAAACATTGCCTTTTAATAAACGCATTTCAAAATTTTTAACTTAAAGTTTGATACTTATTTTTGTCGATCAATAAAGATACTTAATGTTCTGTGTTTTTTGAAATTATTTTAGGTTGAAAGGTTCTGGGGTCTTTATGGGCATTTAATTAGGCCATCAGACATGGCTGTTCATAGTGATTTTCACCTCTTCAAACATGGAATAAAACCAATGTGGGAGGTGAGTAATTTTTTCTATTCATAGAATATTTTGATATTAGTATAGTTTATGTAATACCTTGTAGATTTTCACCGATGTTTCTGTCAGTTGCTTCAGAATTATTAAAATATTCAATAGGTTATGACTAGGGTTAGAAGTTTTTTGCAGTGCAAATTAAACATGCAAGAAAAGCACTGTCTTCAAAACATAACTACACTATTTTCTAATAAAATTACAAAGTTAAAAAAAAAAAAATTTAAATTTAAGCTTTCTTTTAATTTTTTTTATAAAATTGACCTAAGACTCATTTGGTTCAAACATAATACTCAATCTCTAAACTTCAAAATTTTAAATTTTTTTTTTTCAAATTTAAAAAGAAACAAAAAAATTACCTTTAAAACTAAAACTTCAATATTTATTAATGCGGGAAGAATAAATGCTATAAAAATGGATGCTATGAAAATAGGGTTAAGCTCAAATGCCCCGTGGGGTAATTTAAGAAATCCTTGGCTGCCTAGTCAACACACATCATAGATCGATCTTATCGATACTTCTTGGGGGTAATGTCATCTTTCAATCGTCATCAATACAAAATAAAATTCCACTTGTGATGGTGGAATCTAGCTTAAAAAGCTTAGATCTTGATCGTGTTTATAACAAAAACCATGGATTTTTGAAAAGTCATTTTCTGTGATAAAAGCTAAAGAATCATGGAAAACCCCAGTTTATCATAGAAATCTGGTATTGGAGCCCTTAATCCTGTTGTGCAATTTAAAAATCCCATGAGGTGTTCACATGAATTAATAATCACATGTCATGCTTAAGGGATTTAAAAATTTTTTACATGATCTGTATTTGTGCAATTTAAAAAGTCACACATTGTGATCTGGAATCTTGCAATTTAAGAATCACTTATCGAGATCCACAATTGTGCAATTTGAAGATGAAACATCACGATTAAATTTTAAAATTACACATTGCGATCCGCATTAGTGCAATTTAAAAATCACATCAGGTTTTGTATTCGCATGATTTAAAAATCTTACGTGATCACTTCTTGTGACCCACATTCTTGCAATTTAAAAAATCCATCAACATGATCCTTATTTGTGCCATCCCTATTCCTGCAATTTAAAAAATCTCACATTGGGTTTTGTAACACTTTACTTAAAAGTCAAACAGTTCTATCCTTATTTGCGTACTTAACAATGGATTAACATTATTTAAAAATGTGATTTTTAACATTATTTAAAAATCACACTGCAGTCTACATTCGAAGGGTTTGAAAAATCGCACAACATGCTCTGAACTCATATGATTTAAAAGCCACACATCAATATTTTTAATCCAAATATTTTAAAATCATATGGTGTGCTTTATACAGGGGTAGTTGTATTCCAGGTTTTTCGTATCATCCCTCCATGTTCAGAAACTAGTAGCGAAGCATGTGATTTTTTTCGCAGAATTCTGAGTTTATCAAGACCATTGATTTGCAAACTTCCTCGAATCAGAGCTTATAATCCGACTAAATTTTCACTGCAATTCAAAATTTAGAGTAAGCATTAAGTTCTACAAGAATATAAATTTTAAAACCTTCGGTGAATCGCATTAACGAGTTGTTTTCAAACACGTGACTCTTCTGCAATTATAATTTTTGGTTTGTGGTTCATAGTTTTTAATGTTTGAAACTATGCAGTAATCCTCTAAAATCGATTTTCGTATTTACCTGATAAAAGTTACTCATTGTGAATTGTATTCATATGATTTAAAAATCGTACATTGTGATTCATATTCAAGCGAGTTTATAATCCGATGTCGCTATTCCTATTCACTGGATCTAAAAAATCATTTGTATTTACGTGATTCAAAAATCCAATAATGCAATTTGTATTTTCACACTCGTAAAATCCAATATACCGATTCTAGTAAGAACTAAGTTTTTTCTTAAATTAGTTACTATAAAAGTGGGATATTCCTTATTGATAAGTAATTTAATTATAAAAAAATTTTATTGACTGTGAATAGTATATAAATTGATAACTTATCGAGTTTTCTCATCTTCCTTGCAGTTTTTGTAAAAATAAGCCGCCATCACTTAAACGTAGTGCCTTTTTATTTTTTTCGGAAAAAGATTATTTTCTTCGCCACCTGTTTTAGTTAAAAGTCCATTTTGATTTATTTAGTTACTGATAATTATTTCATTCCTTCATTTTAGAAAGATTTATCTTATGTTGTCTAGTTATATTGTTAAAGTTCCCGTTATACTTGGCCCCAGAGATATTCTCATCTTTTAATTGGCAGAGGTGGTATATTAATGAAGTTTTTAGTGATTTTACATCCTTAATATCCTTTTTTTTTTTAGTTTACTTTTTTTTAAAGAGAATATACGCACAGACATTGTCTTTTAGCTGGTTTTTAATTATTTTTCGAAAGCTTCTAATTTTTCTGTTATTTTGATAACTGAGAATTCCTTTATGAAATATACACATGAAATAATATAGTAATTTAAAAATTTGGGATCAAAATCAGTTATATAATATTACATATTTTGTTAAATTGAGTTTCCTTTCCTGTGAGGAAGCACCTTGCCCTTTTTAATCCTAAGGAGAACTGTGGAAAAGTTTCCTAAATAGTTTCTTAATAATTAAATAACCATGACTAGAGTGTAACAAGAAATTTTACATTGATAAGGGTATTAGAATAATTTATATGTGAGCATATTATTTATGCACAACCAGTCAAATAGTTTTTTGCATTCTCTAATTTTAAAAAAAATATAAGGATATTTAAAATTTGATTTTTCTGGAACTACTGTACTGATTTGGTTGAAATTTTTATTTTGTCCTGAAGAATTACATTCATTCAAACGATGTAAAAATTTGTAGACCTCAAGATTAAAAGATTTTTCATCCATTATTGAATAAATTTGTTCGTTATATTGCTGTATTTAAGTTTTTTTTCTCTATCTGCAATGTACTTTTATCATTTCAGTATTTTAAGTAAAATTGCATTTTTAATAAATATTGCAGCCACTGTGGCTGGGTTATATTTAACAATTTCTTGTGATTTCTGAATCTTATCTCTCATGTTAAAGGAAATCTTGTATTAATCAGAAGCTTTTTACATGAATAGAAATTTTTTCCCACCCTGAGCATGTGTAGTAAAAATCTAAATGCAGAAAAGACTTCTAAATGCAAAAAAAGTTTCTAATTTTCCAAAAAAGAAATGGATCATTATATTGATTATGTAAATATCATCATTTGTATTATGTTCCTAAATTTGCCTTTTTCTTTCTCATATTTACTTTAACTTAAAAAAGGATTATTTTGTATTCTAAATACAATACATAAACATATTTTTAAATGCTAAGTTCTTCTATACTTTTTAGGATGATGCAAATAAAGATGGAGGTAAGTGGATAGTAAGGCTTAAAAAAGGTCTTGCATCTCGTTGTTGGGAAGATTTGATCTTAGCAATATTAGGTGAACAGTTTTTGGTTGGTGATGAAATATGTGGAGCTGTTGTTTCTATTAGATTTCAGGTAAAAAAAAAAAAGAAATTCTTAAATATATTCCGGTGTATAAGTTGACTTTTCAAACCTTCAAAATTTTATGAAATACAAGGTTATAAAATACGACTTATACACTGGTAATAAAGTTGGACATTTGGTGAATGTGAAATATCAGTGTGTTGCAAACAATGAAATAGGTATCAAAAACTCTGTATCAATATACCTTTATAAATTACCTCTTCCAAGAACTATTTTGAATATGTTATGCAATTTCACATTTTCTCTCATATTTTCTTCAAATATAATTGTTTTTTTAGAAGCAATGCTTTAGATTACATTTAGAAAAAATTAAGATTAAGAAAATTAAAATAATTTATTCAATAGTATTACAAAAAATATAGCATGATGAAAACTTTTAAAACATACCATAAAGCTGCGAATTTAAAGATTTCTGAATGTAATCTGTGTTGGATTCATCGGCGTTAGCAGTATTGTCATATGGATTCAGGGATATGGTTTTTTTACCGTTTGCCAGATTTCCAGCTTTATATATATTGTAAAATTTTCTGTATTTTAGTCAGCATTTTGAGAATCTTGCATTTTCTCAATAATGAACCACTTTTCTTATAAAAGCTACTTTTTCTCCTTTTCATATAATGTATCACTGTCATATGACTTCTTTTCACATCACCTTTTTGATAATCCAATAAAATTGATCTTTTACTAGCAGGGTTAATACAGCTGCAACAAAACCTACTTCTTACAGCATTTAGCAACAAAACCAATATGTTTTTTTTTGCGACATATTGCTCCAAACTGGAAAAAAATCTAACCAAATACTTTGAATAAGATTTTGTGACTTTACATAATGATTTTTAAGTCACAAATTTTCATTCAATTAGATTTAAAATTTAATAGTGTATGTTACTAATGTAATTTCTATTACACTAAGATGTTTTTGATTACATTCATCGTTTTTTATTTAATAATAAGAATTTTTTTAAGGGAGTTTTTCATTTAACATATCACAGTTAAAAGTGATAATAAAAATAAAAACTGTGCAAAGCAAACTTCAAAGTCATGTTGTTCATTTTGAGGTAAATCAAATAAAAATTAAATCAATTAAAAATTTATATAATCAAGTAAAAATTTTAAAAAGAATTTTTTTAAAAGAGTTTTTCATTTAACATATCACAGCTAAAAGTGATGATATAAAAAAACTATGTGCAAAGCAAACTTCAATATTAATAGTCATCTTGTTCAAATTGAGGTAAATCAAATAAAAATTTGAAGAAATTATGGGCCACAATAAGCAAATGGATCTGAATATATTTTTAAAACAGAAGCATTTATTTTTAATTATTTTTCTTGAGTTAGTGCTGTGAACAGATTTTAAAAACTTAGGAAAATGTGTAACAATAACTACCAAAGAAGGTAATTATAATAAAAGAAATGAGAAAAAATGTATTTTAAAAGAACGTAATTAAATTTGACTAAACTCATTGTATATCAAGCAGAAAAAGACTACCATATTGACAAAGAGGATTTGATTTTTCCTTGTTTCATATAGCAGCATTACATTATGTTATGGGTAATACCAGTTCATTTGGGTGAAATGTATTTCAAAACTCATAAGGTCATCCTTTTTATAGTAAAATGATAAGAGATCTCCAATTTCAGTGCTTTAACTTTTTTTTGCGTGTGAGAAAATGTTTACTTTCTATTACAGTAAAGAATCAATTATCCGGGACCATCACTATGTCAGATGCTGAATTTCCCATTTTTCTGGCTCAACTAAAAAATGTCATTTACTGATGTTTTATCAGATCCAAATTAAAATGAAAAAGAGTAACACATTTTAAAGTAAGAAAAAAGCGCTCTTAAATTTTTAAAAATGTGGGAGAAAAAAGACATTTTAAAGATTGGAAACATTTACCAGTTTAAATAAGAAAAACAAGTTTAAAACATACAAAATTCAAATATTTATTTTTTTTAAAAATTTCATTCCACTTTTAGCTGATGAAATTCACTTAACACATTTTAACTAATCTTAACAGAAGTAGATGATGAATTTCTACTAATCTATGAATTTCTGAGATCTATCTTTACTACTGAGATCTATCTACTAATCTATGAATATCTGAGATCTATGAATTTCTGTAGATCTATGAATTTCTGTAGATCTATGAATTTTTGAGTTATATAGAAAATAAGAGAAAAGGGGGTAAAAGTCCTCCTGAATCATCCATTTCACAGAAGGGGGTTGGAAAGGATTGAGACAGGTCAGGTAGTTGTAAAATTACGTTGATGAAAATAGCAGGATCATCTTATTCATTTTTGTCACTTCAAAAATGGATAAGGAAATAAAAATAAGGTTTGAACTTGAGTAACAATTCCAATATTGCACAAAAAGTAATTAGTCATAATAATGTATTATCTAAAATTGTAAAACAATAATTTGGCATAATGATTCAAGGATAACAAAAATTGAGAAATTAAAATAGATCTAAAAAAATAAAAGCTAACATATCAATAATCACATAGCAGAAGTTTCAAGTTCCTTTACTCGGGCATCCAATCGAAGAATCTTGAGGATGCACCTAATGACGGTCCAGAAAAAATAATTTTACTTTCAAACGAAATTGTTGTTCATTTTCCAAAATTTAATTCCAGATTCTAAATTTAACAGGATTCAAGTTAAAAAAAAGATTCATTTTTATTGTTCAAAGCATTTCTTAAAAAGAGTAGCAAAACTTTGCTGCATTTTAAATTAAGTGTTACCAATTTTTTTTCTTCTCTTTTTCGAATCACTTAGTTGGTACCAATGATAAAAATTTATTAGTTTAAATTATTTCAATAAATTATAAACTTTAGTCACAGTAGTCCACACAAAGCTTGATTGTTCTTGTATTTTTTCCTCCACAGGCACAGCCAATTATGTTTTGAGTTATTTTTTAAATGATCAAATGCAGCTTAACTATTACTTTATTTTTGAATTAAGAAAAATAGCCATATTTTAATCGTCTTCGTGATCCAATTAATAATTTGTATTTCCATTTCACTTTTTCTTAGTAAAGTATAGGGATATATTTTCCTTTGTTACTTCTTACCGTCTGTTCACTGGTGTAGGTGTGCAATGCATTCTCCCTCCTTCTTGTAAATCGAAGAGAAAACAAAATCAGCTTGCCACTCCTTTATGTTAGATTGATGACAGTTTATCAGAAAACCACAAATTCTTTGGGACACACAGTAGAAAATAAAATTTTTTTCCTTTTCCTGTCCCGTCTCAACCGAAAGATTTTCTAGGTTACGAAAGAAGATAAATAACCCACCGACAATTTCCTCTACTCAACTTCAAGGATGTGTAAAATTTCTGCTTTTTTTTTTCTTCTCTCAATCGTTCTAGTTCGAAATGGCATGAAAACCAAGCAAAATTTTTCTAGATGCCAGATAAATGGTCCTGTACTGTATTTGAATTCTCAAAGGGGTATTATATATGCTTTTTTTTTTAAAAAAAATAATGTGTTCTTGTGCCTGTTTATAAGAACTTTTGAATTATATGTAATAGTAGCAAATAAAAATGTCATGATTTGATAGTTATAATGTATGTCTATGGATGATGTGTATATTGAGATTTTAAAATAATAAGTGACAAAAATACTCCATATTCAAACAAATTTTCCTTTAAGGAAACATTAACAATAAGAAAATTAATAATTCATTCAGAATTTTCTTTGCTCATGGAAGTAATATATATTCTCACTGCATATTTTTCCTTTTACACATAACTATTCCTTTATTAATTTCTAGATCTTCCGAATCAGAAGCTGTTAACATGCCTATCAGGGCATATAAAAAATTTGAAATGAATCGAACCCTGATAGGTAGATGATATTTTTGGACCATTTTGTTGATTATCTGTTGATAATTTGGATATAACTGTGTTTAAGTGCATATTTAGTTTTTGTCAGAAGATTAAAAGCTTTTTTTTTTTCAAAAGGAGGATATTATATCTGTGTGGAACCGAAGTGCTCGTGACAATCACACTAATGGCAGAATACGAGATACTCTTAAGAGAGTTTTAAATCTTCCTCCTAACACTGTTATGGAATATAAAACACACAATGACAGTTTGAGGTGAGTATTAATGTTATTTTCTTAGCAATAAAATATCTCAAGTATTACTGTGTGCACATATAGCATTCACTAAATTAGTGAATGTCATTAATTTCTCTGATGTAGATGAAGAAGAAGTTTAGGGGTTCAAACTCCTCTCATTGAATAGGCCAGTTTTTGATTTTCTCTAAGTACTAATTTTAGAAAACATCTTCAAAATAATTTTTGCACTTTTTTAAAACTTAACTTGCTAAAGTGTTAACAACTGGAAGCAGAGTTCCAATTCAATTCCCAGCCTCTCAGAACACACTTGGCCCATTACCTGTGTCAACATTATGAAATGACTTTAACAAAATGCATGGATGTTGTTTTTTTTTCCACTTTTTGATTAAGATTCTCTATAGTGGTTACAAAATGACAATTGAACTTACAATTGTAAGTATTAGTTTTCACTTTGCAAACACTTAATATTTTTAAGAATATTGTTAGAACTTTAAATAATTTATGTAGTGTAATGATCAAATCATTATAAATCAACTGAATTAACTACTATAGTATTATTAAAGTATACATTTTCTTATTTCTTTAAATGTTCAAACGAAAAATCTGTCAGAGTCGAATGATTCAGCAACTTTTAGATTGTGATTATTCGTGTAATGACTGTGGTGTACTGCTTCTGTTCTTTTTTTTTTCTCTTCAACCCTCTCATATCACAAAGCCAACCATCTGGTGCCCTACTAGAGCTCTCTGGGGTAAAGTTTCATCAAGAAATGACATCATGTTAAGTGGGAATTTCATTTTCGGCACCATGAACCTCCTTGAAATGTTTTCCTGCAAAAAAAAACTCAACCGGTTTTTTCTCCAGCTTCTGCACAAAATCGTCATTTTTTGATGGAATAATGATTATTGACAGCACAGATTAATTTCTTAGCTTTTTTCACAACAGACGATAACAAAACTCTTAAAAGAAAATTGTGCCCAAGTAATTTTCAAGACAATAACCGAAAGAGAAATATTTTGTTTCATTAGTACGTGTGAACGAAGATATAATTTTAGAGTTGACTAAGAAATTGCTGTCAACAAAATAAAAATTATAGTTTCAAGTCTCATTATATAATAATTCTTACTATTTCAATGTTACAGGGTATATTCCCTCGCCAATACCTCTTTTTAAAGTCCCAATTATTTATTTTTTTAATTCTTTCTAATCACTTTCTCTCTAATCAATTTCTATCAAATAATTTTTTTTTTTCGATGCTACTTCTTTATACAATGCACAAATGGCAATACATTTAAAAAAAAATTGTAACAGAAATGTATGATAAAGAAGACATATTAATTACAATTAAAGATGTGAATTAGAATAAAAAGGTTTCAAAATACATTTGGCATAAATATTTATTTCTTTTACTAATTTAAAAAATTGTTATTCTCCTTCTTCCATTAAAATATATAGTATAAAAACTGCAAAAGTAGCTCCTTGTAAGTTACTTAAAATGATTTTACTAATCACCTAATTTTTTTTACACAAATCTATGAATTAATGCCATTTCATGTGAACCTGTTTATTTAATTATCTATAAAAAGTCACTTTAAAAATGAAGCAAAGTAATAAGTAAAGTAGTAACTTAAGTCATATTGTTACAAATTGAAAGGAAAACTAATGAACTTTTCTGAAATTCAATTAATTAATTTCCATAAGACCAATGTGTAAACATTACTTTTTCATCCAAGAAAATTTGATTTCTTTTTGCTAATTAGTTATGATTTAGAATCAAGTATAAGTAGTGGTCTGTCCACATGCAGTACTCATGTACAAAATTTTGCATTTTATTTCAGCTCATTTCGTAATCTTATAAACTCATTCAGTTTCATTTTATTCATGCTAATGTTACCGCATTTGAAAAGAAAATTGTGCGATTGGTTAAATTATAGCCCTATTTTTTAGAGCAGTTATCAGGGAATGTTTGATTTCAAGTGAGTGTTCATGGTACAGTACTGAGCGTTTATTGACCAAACTTTCCCATGGTTACTTTCCAGCCGAAAATCTCTATTCCATTCCCAGTAGCTCATGGTAGGGCTCCTGGTTTATATTTAATTTATCTTTGTATGCATAAATGTGAAAAGTGATACTTTAGTGCTTTTCTATTGATAATGTAAATATGCTTCATTTAAAAACATATTCATTATATTTCCTTTTAGGGACAAAACAAGCTTCCGCAACACTGATGTCTTTTTACAGTAAAATTGTACATATTTTTCAGATCATTAAATTTTTTAGAGCTTTGCTAATTGGCTTATTCATATTTCACCATAAATGAACACCGTGACAATATCTTTGTCCAAAACACATAATATATGGTATTAGGTGGAAAATGTCATATGGCAGACTCTACATAAATTTTTTAACAAATATTTTCATGAAGAGGGTGTTATTTAACACTATTTTACAAAAAATTCTTTTTCCAAAATCCCTATATATATATATGCATAGAAATTTTTGTTGAACTTTCAAAATATATTTTGTCTCCACTGACGGCCATTTATTACTAAAATTGAGATGACTATGACTACTATGTCAAAAATCTGGTGATTAATGTTTTGAAGAGTCGTCATTTAAAAAAGATATTGTTGCCAGATTAGGGAGTTGGTAAAAATTTTGGTTTTAAATAAAAATTAAAATATGGAGTTTTGAAAAACCATCATAAATGACGCAGATTATCAATGGGTTATAAATCATAACTATCTAAAACAAGTGTGAAACTCTTTAGCCTTTTGATTTCTTCTCTCCTCCAAATTTAAGTTTTATTTTCTAAATTTCCTATATGTAACAATAATTTATCACAAAATTGTCTACTTTTTTTCGTGAATTTAGCTGTTTAAAAGAAACTTTTTTTTTCCAATTTTCAAAAACAATGAGCTTAACTTCTGCCTTGAGAGTATTGACATAATAAGTATTTTTTTTATTCACTTTCGTTTCTCAATTTTCACTATCCTTGATTTATTATGACAAATTATTGTTTTATAATTTTGGATGATGCATTAATTATTAGAAACAAGACGTTTTTTACCGTCTGCTATGTATATTTGACATCTATTGACGAAAAAAAAATTTTATTGAAGGAATTCTGATTCCTTAAAGATACAGTATCATTTACAAGTCTTGCCTGATGTGGAAACAGATCTGCTTTCATTAAAAATAGTCTGCTTTTATTAAAAAGTTGTCTGCTTTTTTAATATTTTTCCCCTTTGTAAAAAGAAATAAAATCAGAAGATTGTTTATTCATAAGCATACAATTATTTACTACCAAATGCAAAAGACTACTATTATTTTTAGAAGTAATCCAATTCTTATTACACTACGTTTTGAACTTTTTTTTCAATAAATTTTATGTCTAATAAATTAGTTCTTATTCATGAATAAAGTAGAATTTTTTTTTTTTTAAATTTCAATTTATATCAATATATCCTGCCTTGTCCAATGTTTTAATATTAATGTTAGCTCTTCTTTTAACTATTGTTTTCGTTTGGTAATTTTTAAGTGTTGTTGTTTTTATTATAATTTGGCTTAACATCAATCAACTTATATATTTATTAGTTTAATTTTGTTTTGATTAATATTTTTTTATTAATTCCAAAAATCGTAACATTTTGCATTTTTATAGTTTTTTCTTTTCTCTGTTCCTAAACACGTTTGTTAGTTGATTAAATATGATATAATTTCAATTGAATACATATTTGTGTAATATTTTTATTTAGATTTTTTATTTTTTTAGGATGATTTTGTTAAAAAGTTGTTCTTTTAATTTATTGATTAATAAGTTCTTACATTTTTTGTTTTCTCGCAGCTTTGTTTTACATTTAGGGTAATTTTTTTATTTAATAGCTTAAGATTGGAAAAAAATTACGATTTTATTATTTGTTTTGTTTTTGCTTGTGTGTTGATAACAGCGTTATTTTTTAGTTATGTATTCTATGTCATTTAACTTAATAAATGTAGATTAAGTTTAATTAAATATGGATTGTTTATATATTTGTTATCCAACAAAGGACAGGACATACTTTGTGCTATGTAGACTAAAGCAAAAACTTGAATAAAGCACAAATGACAATACATAAATTCATGGTTTCGTTTTTGCTGTATTCACCTTGTTTGCTTTAATTTATGTTAGTTTCTTTTTAGCATAATCTGATATTTGGTGTTAAGTTTTTTTTTTACATATACAACTTTTTTTTAAAACTAGTAGAGCTCAATTAAATTTTGCAAACTTATTGGTGCTTATCCTTCCTATAATTAATTTTTAATCAATGCTATTATAATGGGTTTTAATTGTTTATTGAATTTTTGCTTTAAAAATGTGCTTTCGTTGATTAAATAAGATTTTATTTTTTGTTTTTTAATATTGCCTAGTAAATTCCCTCATTCTTATTTTCTCTTTCCATCCCATTTATAATTAATGCAATTTATTATTTCTAATCAGAATTGGCATAATTAAAATTACCTGATTTTTTAAACTAAAAGTAATTTATTAATGCTTCCAATATCAGTTGCGATTTTATTTATTAATCTAATTCACATTTTTATTAAATATAATTTTTATTTAAATCCTGGAATTTTACGTAAATCTATCTAGAAAACACAAGCATTTGGATTATTCTTAATAAGAGGAATGCTCTAGTTTTTGTCTGCTGAAGCGCTTACATTAAACATTTTACAGTGTACAGGGCCTCCACTGGTGGCTATTAGTTACTAACAAGCAGGTTACCATGGCTATTCTTTTTACAAAAAGTGATATTTTGTAAAAATCTAGTGTCTTATATTATTTAAAGTCAACTATTTTAAAATATTATTGCCAAACTTGCTAGTCTGCAGAATCTAGTTATCGAATTCAAATGAAAATATTAAGTTTTAAAACGTTGTAATGGTCTATAACCGATTGTAGTTTGACAATGGAAAAGCCTAAAATCAAACATGTCAGAATGAAAACTCTCATTCTAAATTAAATTTTAATATCATTTTAAGTTTCGAATTAAACACTGGCTGTGCAAATAGCCTATAAAAATAGAAAATGATGTGGATGAACGATAGAATCTCCGCTGTTTTTTGTGTGTTTAAAGTAGTTACTAAAATTCAAAATTCAGGAGTAAAAACATGATTTTAAAAAACAAACCATGCATAAATGCTAAAAATAAATAAACAGAAAAGTGCGTGGATTAATGGTGAATCATGTGCTTCAAAGAATGATTATTCATATTAAAAATTTTGACTTGGAAAAACCATTTGGCCAAAAAGAGATAAATGACAGCTAAAAACAAGCCTGGGATATTTCCAATTATGAGCAATCTGCTGCTCTCCCAAATTTCTACTGTATTTTTGAAAATTCTGAAGGTAAGAAGTTCATAATCAATAGATTGTCAAACTTTTTTCCTACCTAAGAGCCTCTTTATATTGTATCTAGTGTAAGGAACCCCCGTGAGCAATTCATGGATACTAAAATTGAGGCAAATATGAATATTTCTAAAAAATCTGCTGAAGAATGACTACTTTTAAAAAAAACTGGTGAGTAATATTTTAAGAGTTAATTTTCAAAAAAATATTTTCACCAAAATGGCGAGTTTGTAAACATATAATTATTGAAGTGAATTTAAATCATGTGAAAATGGCTGAAGTGTCATAGATTTACCATAGAATAGTCGTGAATCAAGTGTGCCGTAAAGTGATAAATTCATGTATCATAATGTATTGAAATTATCAAAAAAGAAAGAAAAAAAACTTTTAAAATTGGCTGAAAAAATTATTGGAGAACAACATAGGCCTACGATATTCCTCAAATTCAACTTATTCCTGTGGTAACGTATTAAAAATATCAGAATTTGAAAAACCATGCATAAATGACGATGTACAGCTGCTGAAGAAACAATTAATATTTAATAGATCTTTGCTAAAAAAACAAACAAAGAAAAGTTTTTTTTCTGCAGGGGATTATTTTTGGATGAATGAATTTTATAATAGTATGTAAAAACTTTTTGATTTGCTTACAGTGTTTTCGCGTTTAGTCTTAATACGCAGAAAGAGAAAGTGACATTAAGGATCTTAATCTTTTGACAGTCATAACTATTGAAACCATATTTTCCAAATTGCAATTATCTCCCCCTTTTATATATTTTGTTGGTTGAAAGTCCAAATCTGTTGTTTATTCAAAGAAAAGGTGTTTTTGTGTCTGTTTCTGTAACTTGATTAATAGCTAGCACCAATTAATAAGAGTATTTCAGGTCCTTCTTTTGAATTATTACGATTGTTCTTAGTTTTTGAAAACCCGATAATTAAACCAAAAGTTATTTGAGGCGATATATTTTCTTTTACCACTGTATATAAGTATTAAACCTACTTTTCAATCATAATAACTTTTGAATTATCAACCCTATCGATTTTGTTTCAATCTCATTCGATTTAATATTAAATATACTTAAGAGATAAAATCTCATTTGTCTTTGTAAGTATTTTGAATTTAAGTTATGTGTAATTAACAACTTAAACACTTTTGTCCAGTATATATATTCTTTCCAAAATCAACAAATCCAATCAATGTTTGATTGTTGAATGCATTTCTTTTGTGTTTTAAATGTGTTTCTTATATGTCTATGTTTCCTATCACTTTTTTGAAACACTTGAAGAGAACATTCTAGTTTAATAACAAATGATACTATTGGAGATATTTCGGCGTTGTTATCTGTCACACCAAATGCAGTCGCCAAGGTGCCTAATGGATTTTAAACTTGCAATTGTTTTTTAAAAAAAAGAACATGCAAGGGTTTGTTTGGGGGGAGGGGAGCTTCCAGTTGATTCCCATTTGTAGTTTTTTTAAAATTATATTAGTTGCTAAGACTTTGCGATTATTCCGTCACAGATCACAATATAGAAATCTTTTCATTCTCTGTTAGTTATATTGTGTTAGATTTATTCAGATTTCGGTTAAAGGGATTTCAAATATAAATCCTACTAAACGGCCCTGTTGATTGACCTGTGATGTTACAACAATTAATCTTTCAATGTGTTGAATTTAGGTTGATATTTGAATTCCCTTTTAAATTAATCATTTCTGATTTGTAGTGATGATATGGAGATCTATCCTGATCTAAGGCCCTTTCAGCAAATATGCGAATCTATGTCTTAGATTAATAACAGATGATACTATATAAAAGTTCAGTTTGTGTGAAAGGATTTTGAGTAATACCTGATGGCAAAGGTTGTTGACTGGCCTGTGTTGTTACAACAAGGCTTTCAATGGCTTGAGCTTTTAGGTTAATATTTAAATTCCCTTCATAAAATTTAACTAAAATGAATACAGAACATCGCAATATAATAAACATTATAAAATCATATTATGATATAATATTTCAACAATATGGAGATTTTACATTCTATTGGTGAACTATCTGAGTATATATTGGTAACTTATCTAAGTTTTAATGCTGATTAAAATCAAAAAACTTCTTAGAACTTTTCTCATTAATTAAAATTACTTTTTGCTACCAGGCTTCTGTTTCTTAATTATTATTTTTTTATTCAAGGCATTCTTTTCATCCGTATATCAGGCAAAATATTTATTTTTTATAATATAAACTTGGGGTTATCTTAAACACTTATTAATTACTATTGCCTTAGCTTAATAAGTGATGTTCGTCTGAAGTATACTATTAAATTTATAAATAAAGATATTTTAAATAAAAACCTAAATAAGTGAGCTATTGACTGATCCTTGTCATATTAAACTTTCAGGCTAATATTTGAACCCCTTATTATAAATTTGAGGGAAAAACATTTCTGACAACTAAACAGGGATGTGATTCTTCCGCGGACATCCGCATTTTTCCATTTTTCCCGCTAATTTCCGCTGAAATTTTTTTGCACAAGTTAAAATATTTCATGACGAATTAAATTTTCCGCGAAGCGAAAGTATTGGAAGTCCTCATTCCTCCCTCAAACATTGATTATCGTATTTACCTGATTTAAAAGTTGAACATTGCTATTCTTAATCAGGCGATTTAAATGTCGTACATTGCTATTCTTATTTACGAGATTTAAAAATCCAATATCGCGATTTGTAATTACGCTCTTCTAAAACCCTATGTAGCGATTCGTATTCACGCGAGCTTAAAATCCAATGTCGTGATTCGCTATTGCGGTTGTAATATCANGCTTTCAAAATTGATGTCATTTGTGTCGAATCAAAATTACGACTGCTTCCGTAAATAGTTATGATGATTTATTTTATTACATTCCTCATCAAAAGTCTATGCAGACTCCTGTTTTTCCAGAAATTTTTTTAAACAGAAAGCATTTTATCGATTTAAAGCTTTGTTTATTGTAATGGTCTTTTTCTCTGAATAAAATAATAGGAAATAAATAATGTTAATAGTAGGAATATATATATATATATTCATTCATTCTTGAATTTCCTCTTTTTTACTTTCCAACCACTCTCATCCCTGCAACTAAAGCATAGTAATACTAGTAATTATAATATGGAGATTTTACTTTACGTGAGACATCTTCACACACACTATTATTTAAAATGAATTGCAAAAGATAGTTAAGTTTATCTCAAAAGATTTAAACTTGATGGCAAAGGCTTAATACGTGTTGTTACATCAAGACAAGACATGTTATTTTTCACCAAAACAATATATATATCCTCACAACAATGTATGTAGATTTCATAATCTATTGATGGTGAACTTCTTATTTAAAATTTATTCTTGGATGTAAACGAATAAAAGTTCTGCAAACTTTATTATTAGTTAACTTCTTGTTTTGTTGCAAAACTTTCACTCCTTAATATTTTTAATGTAAGTTTTTTTTTTTTTTTTTTTTTAAATATTATAGCTGCGCAAAAACGTTTTTTGTTAAAATGCAATAATTGAAATTGTATAGTTTTGTTGAAAATACCTAAGCTTCCACACGTAACAAAATAATAATAATGTCTTTGCATCTTTTTAGCACAGACTCTAAAACACCTTTACGTGAACCAAAGTTCATCTTGAGTTAATTTGCTATCAGGCTAATCATAGAAAACTTCCCATAGCTTCTTTCTTGCCTAACATGCAGTCTGTGCTTGCTTCATTTTATACATTTACAAGCAATGTCAAAATATGTTATATTGTCTATATAATATATATAAAATTGTATATATAATAAGTTGTCTTATAGTAATTGTGCAACTTCTTTTCCCTATAAATGCTTTAACTATAGCAAAATAAATAAAATCATTGAGATAGATTTTGTTGCTTTTCAGTCTTATCTAACATGAGCCGCAATAATGTTTCGAAATTCAAACACTTAAATATTAAAATTTATTCTGACTGCTTGTCGTTGATATTAACTATTTTACTCGAATGTATCCAGAATTAAATAGACTATATGTTAGATTTTTATGTCAGGCTAACCCTGGGAGGTTTTTTGAAGGTACGTCTCAAATACTGTAAAAATTATCTTGTTTACTTTTAATGACCTTATTAAGATAAAAGTTTCTCTAGTTAGGAAGCTAAATATATTTTATCTCACGTTTGCATCCACCACAATGTTCAATTTCATCAACTTCCAACATCTGCTTACAAATTTCTTAAATTAAAGATAACATAATTACAATATTGACGCCACAGTTCTCTTGCTCTTAAGAACTGCATGAACCCTATTAAAATACAGATGTTTACTTCTATGAACATAAAATTATTATCAAAATACCAAATGTAACACAATACGTGAAACCCCGATTTTACGTTTTCTGTCGGACTAGCGATAAAAAACGCTCGAAGCGGAATAACGTAAAATCGGGGTTAAGAAAAATCTATGCACATTTTTAAAAATTGACACCTACCAGTCAAATTATTGGAAAAATGAGTAATCTTTACTTGCTTTTCGCTTTTAGCTACAATTTCGTATACAACTCGTTCAATACTAAAATTTTTTTGCAAATTTGCTTCTTGATTTACATTTACAAGTAAAAATTGTTTTAGAGTTTTTATGCTTTGTATCGCTTGATCAGCTGTTGGCACGTCTTCTGTTATTTCATCGTCATCAGCACTATCGTCGGAATCAGGCATTAAATCACTTATGGAAGGGATTTCTGAAGTAATGATATCTGTGTCACAGTCGATGTATGCATCATCGACTTCCGGAAGATCCTCAACTTCAGACACGTTACCTTCCTCTTCTTCCTCCAAAGTAACAGCGCCCTCCTCCTCCGATATTGAAAATCCCGCTTTATTGAATCCATTGATAATGCACTTTCTGTCGACACTGTCCCAAGCTGAAGATATCAAATTAAGATCCTCAAGAACATGAATTTTTGCCTTAGAAGCATCCTGAAAGTCACCAGAATCAAGAAACATTAGAGATTTTCTAACCAGTTGCTTCCGGTAACTCTCTTTAAATGATCGTAAAATTCCTAAATCCAGTGGTTGAAGTTTTGCTCGTACAGTTAGCTGGAAAAAACTCTATTCGCACGTTTTTCAATTNATTAGAGATTTTCTAACCAGTTGCTTCCGGTAACTCTCTTTAAATGATCGTAAAATTCCTAAATCCAGTGGTTGAAGCAAAGAATATATAAGTGTGAAGAAGTCTCGCTTCTCCGATACGTAGCGGGGGCGTAACTCTATTCGCACGTTTTTCAATTTAAGGTTTAAATGAGCAGTGCATTGGTCTAGGAATAAAATTATGTTGCGCTTTTGAAAACTCATTTTCTTATCCAGTTTTCGAAGAAAATTTTTAAATAATGCTTGCGTCATCCGAGCATAATCGGTGGGAAAACTTTTGATATTTTTGAAGCACAGTGGTTTCTCTGCTCTACCGATCACACGAGGCGTTAAATTTTGGCTTCCATCGGCATTTGCACAGAGCAAAACAGTAAAGCGCATTTTTGAAAGCTTTCCTCCATGACAATTTTCACCTTTAATTGTCAATGTCTTGTTCGGCAATAGGTTGAAAAACAATCCCGTTTCATCCGCATTAAATATGTCACTTGGATTATAGCCCCTTAATAAATTTGACAGAGTTTCTTCTTTCCACTGTTGCACAGTTGTCATATCCACACTATCGGATTCGCAACAGATAGATTTGAAGCATAAATTGTTCCTTTTTTTTAATCAATCGGTCCAGCCATTTGATGCACTGAAGCCATGGAGTTTAAGCCTTTTCAGCAATTTCAAGCGCCTTTTCTCTTAGGATGGATCAATTTATAGGAATCTTTGCTGCTCTGGCTTCCTTGAACCAGTTCATTAAAAAATTTTCTAACTCATTATACGGAGATGTTTTAAGGGTTTTTCTCTTGGCATATTTTCCGAGTTTTTCAGCCTTTAGATCTACTGAAGCTTCTTGCTTTAAAATCATTTGCAAAGTTGAATAAGCAATACCCAACGAATTAGCAAGATCAACTTTAGTGCCATGAAATTCTTTAGCTCTTTCGACGATTTCAGCCTTTTCGGCCAGAGAAAAGCATTTTCGTTTCGACATCTTCTTTTGAGAAAAGAACACGATGACTGAAGTTTCGAAAATGAGAAAAAATGCTATAGCTTTCAAACTCAAACAAAACCGACTGAAAATCTCATTTGGTATGCTAGCACGGAAAAATGAGTAAAACCATTTTTTTTATCTGTTTGTAGAAAAACGCATCAAGCGGGATTTTCATAAAAGGGGTAACGCAAAATCCGGGATTTTTTAACATTATCGGTATAGGCAATTTTCACGGATCAGCAGAAAATGACGTAAGAAGCGGGATAACGTACGAAACGGACAACGTAAAATCGGGGTTCCACTTATAATTTATGATAAAGACTTAATTGGCTTCCGAAAAATATGAAGATGGAAATAAAAGTGTTTCGCGCTCAAAAATAGGCGCTCGTTTTCAAGACTCGCCAAGTGGGAATGACTTCTGACGCGAATTTTTGAACGCTTACAACATGTTTACTTTTATTATAATCTTCACATTTTTTAAAGTCAATAGATAATGCCTTAGGCTCTTAGATTGAAAAACATAGATTGATTTTTGGACTGCTACCTTTAAAAACATTTTGTATTGATAAAATTCCATTTACAATTGTATTTCCGAAACTCAAATGAGACAATGAAATCTCCTCTAGCCCCGGACCCCGGAATAAATCTTAACTAGTTACAAAGACAATTATTTCAAACAAGCATTGGGCGTTGTCAGATGAAATTCATTGGGGGGGGGGCACCTTATACCACCATTATATATATATATATAAACGCTTCTATACTAACACATATTTTTATCTTTCTAAAAGAAAACTTAGAGAATCATTTTATAAATGTAGAACTCTTTAGTATATGTGATTTCTCATACTTATAAATGAAGTTTAAAGTTCTGGGGGATTGACCAAAAATTACATACCAAAAATAGTGTGTTTAAACACCCTATGCCAAAAAATGTAGCAATAAATTTGTAACTTGCAACAATTAGTTTTGTCATTAATTGTAATGATTGCGCAGCATTTTGTAAACCTAGCTTAAATATTTATGGAGAGAAGGACATTTTTATAAAAAAAAAAATTTCTCTTACGTTTTTTAGCTATAGCTTATTCAATAAAATTAAACAAAGTATTTGGAGAAATTCAAATTTAATTACAAAATTATTGATTTAAAATTTGAGAAAAATTTCTTTAAAAATGCTCAGGATATGAGTAATTAAAGTAGTTCTTTTATACTGCACAGGCGCGGGAAAAATTTTAATTTGGTTTTTCTTAATTTTGTATGAGTCGTATCTGTCTGATTTGAATTTGTTAAAAATTCAAAACGTTTTAAGCCACTTGTAAGTAGTTTTCGTACTTTTATAAGAAAGCTCAAAGTGATAAGAAATATTTCGCGAAATATTATTTTGTACTATTAAAAATGACACGCATTATTGAAAATTATCCCCATGAAAGTATCTTTTCTTTGCATGTTTTCTTTCTTTATACAATCAGACTTCGGTATATGAACGTTTATTGTGAGGTATCATTTGTTATTTTATTTTGTTTTATGATACAAAATAATTTTTGTAAAAAACTCTTATCTGGGATGATCCCCAACAATGCCGGTCTCATTTTTAATAAATCTTGTTTAATAGTAGAAACTGAAATTTGTGGAAACCCCTTATAATTTTGATCTTTCTTTAAAAAAGTACGAAAATTACTTAGGAAATTGCTTACAACTTTAATAATTTTTAAGATATTGAAATCGGACTTTTTTCATTAGTTGCCAAATATGATTCATTGCAAAATTATGAAAAGAATAGTGAATTTTTTCCTCGCATGTGTAGTATAAAAGAAATACTTTCATATCTCATATCTTGCACAATTTTAAACACATTTTTCTAAAAATTTAAAACAATTTTGTAATTATTTTGAATTGTTACAAAAATTTTGTTTAGTTTCATGGAATATTTTTAAAGTTATAGCAAAAAATTAGTTTTTTTATAAAACTGTCCATATCTCCATAAATATTTAAACTAGGCTTACAAAATTTTGTGCAGTCATTGCATACAATGACTAAAGTAGCTGTTACAAGTTAAAAATTTATTGCTACAAAATTTTTTTTTGCATAGGTTGTTATAAACGCTATTTATCGTTTGTAATTTATTTTCGGTATCTCAAGCCTCTAAAAAGCTTTAAACCTCATTGATATGTATGAGAAATCGCATAATCTAAACACTTTAGAAATTATTCTTTAAGTATTTCTCGAGAAATATGTATTAGTATAGAATTTTTTACATTATTTTGTCCGCCCCCTGTATCTAACACCATAAAGACAAACAAGAAATTAACGAAGAAGATAAAAAAAAATTAAAAGTTTTATTTACTGTGCATAATCCACAAGTACATAGAACCCATGAAATAAGTTGAAAATACAAAAAAGACGTAAAAAAATTTATTAAGGAGAAGAAGAAAAATTATTAAGTGAAAAATTTTTTCTCTTCATTGTATTTTTAATTCCTTTATTCACTTTCCTAACATTCACTTTTTCTTCCAAAATAGCATCACTATTTGGTCTACTTTTCTGAAAAAAGAATTTATTGGAATATTAGTTCAAGGAAGCCATAGTAATGTTTGCCTAAATTAATAAATTGAGATTTTTAAAATTTTCTTCACGCTGTCAACTCAACCTAGTGCTTCGTTTGAGAGAGAGAGAATCGAAACTAAAAATTAAAATTTAAAAAAGATGTCATCAGTTACATTCTATCAGAAACATGCTTTTAAAAAACTCGACATTTGAGTAAAATGCTTTTTTATTCAATAAAATGTTTTATTCAAATATCTTTATTAAATTACGAATAAATTTTTAAACGACTAAAAAGAAACATCTTATTTTATAATTTAAAAAAAAAAAAGGATCGAAAAAACAAATATGAATGAAATTTTACGCTACGGGCGCTTCAGTCAAGTTTCGCGTAAGTTATCTACATTTAAATATTAATCACCCCAATTAAATATTTCTTCATTGTCACCAAATTATTTTTTTAAAAATATTTCATTTTTCACGGCTTCTACTAAATGAAAACTGTTCAAACTTTAGATTTTGCAATGGAAAAATACGTAGATTAATATGGTATAAAAAAAATTTATACCTCATAATTCAAAATTTTTTCATCCACAATTATATTAAATAATAATAAATAATTGTTAAAAATTATTTTTTTGCATCAAATTATCTTTGNAGCTGGTAAAGTAGTGACACGTAGCAAATTGGATAAAAGATACACATGATTTATTGTATGAGCTTCAGGGGTTGATATGCAATAAAATCTTCCTCGTGCGCTGTAAGGAAGAAATATAATTTCTCCTTTCTGGGTTAGGCATTTTAGATACATCATAAGGTCTGGGGTGATGGCATGTCTTCGGATCATCCTCCGGGATGTTTCCCAGACCGTCGCCAATAGACAGGGTTAGTCCTACGTCATCAACGACGTCACTAGCTCTCCCCGTTCCAAACAAAGTTTCGAACGGAGCAAACAATATGGCGTTTCTCATGTAGTTAAAAGTGGGTCAACTAAATCTTTGAATTTATTAATATAGAGTCGAATCTAACCACTGAAAGGGCAAGAAAAAGTGTTGCATATATTAATATTACGTTAATCTCTTTNAACAACAATTATTTTTTTTTTAATTGCTTTCTTAATTTTAAAAATATGACTTAAAACGCAAAAAGTGAAATTACCATTAAGGGGTCTGAACTTTGGATAGCTCTTCTGACCAAACTATGGGGACATTATCTCCCAGATTGAGGCTACCCCCTTTATTTTGAAGGTTAAGAATCCAAATGTGTAAAAAAATAAAATTATGTTTATTCGGAAGAAAGTACCTTTTGTGTCCGATTTCGTAACTTAATTAATAGTTAGTACGAAATGATTAGCACATTTAAGGTCATCTCCAAGAACCATTAAGATTGGCACTTAGTAAGGGAAAATCCGATTACAGGAAAGTTATACAANTTTTTTTTTTTTTTTTTTTTTTTTTTTTTTTTTTTTTTTTTTTTTTTTTTTTTTTTTTTGCTCACTGTGCGTTAGGTATTAACAAATATTAAGAATAAAAAAATAAAAAAAATCCCAAATTGAGAGTAGACAATTATTGGGGACTACTCTCATTTTACTTAAACTAAAACATCTGCCTAAATTGTGGCAAGATAGTATTAAAACAAAATATTTAGATTAATAAGGATTAACAACTCATGGTTATTATTTATAATATAAACTCGACAGCTATAATATTGATCTTAGGGTTTTTTATAGTACCTTGCTGTCTGAAATCCTAGTTTATAGTTTTAATAATGTTGACTACATTTTTATACGTGATGTATAATATAAATCATAGTTAATGTAATAATTATAATTCAAGTATTGTATAGTGAGCTGTAGAGATAGGATTGGTACTCGGGAGAGAGCATCAGCCGCTGTGTTGCACACACCACTAACAAGGCGCACGTCTGTACTGAATTGTGAGATAAAATCCAGACGACGCCATTGACGTGGGCTACACTTGTCTGGATTTTGCTTGAAGACATAGATGAGTGACTTTTGGTCAGTGTATATAGT